TCTGGCGGCCGCTCGGGACGATCCAGGCACCCTCAGAAAATCTGGAAACTTTCGATCACCGCTCCTGAGCCTATCCCCAGGCTCTCTTACGCGACGGCGGATGCTGGACCGTGGGTCGGTACGGGTCGGTTTCGAACATCTCTCCGGAGCCCATCCCCGGACATCCGGCGTCTCGACCTGTTCGAGACACGGGCCCCCCGACCTCTCTACCACTTCCCTGGGACCGCTCTCCGTCCCGAGGCGCCCCTTGACGGTCCCGAGGCCTTGGCAAGGGCCCCGAGAAGCCGACAACTAGAGGTAAAACCTCCGTCTCGGTCTCTTGCACGAGGCGCTGGACGTCCTGGCGGCTCCTCCGCCCCCCCCTCGGGCGGCGAGCCTCTCGGCTCCGCCGGCCCCCGCGGCCGAGCCCCCGCGGCGCCGCGGCGTGGCTGCTGCCCGGGGGCGCCCGCCGCGGCGGCGGCGGGGGCGGAGCCGGGCGCCTGCGGCGGCGGCTGCGGCGGCACCTGCGGCGAGGGCGGCGACGGCGGCGGCGGCGACGGCGGCGGCGGCTGCGGCTGCGGCGGCGGAGGCGCCTGCGGCGGCGACGACGCAGACGACGACGTAGACGATGCCGAGGACGTCGACGACGACGACGACGACGACGACGATGATTACGACGACGACGACGACGATGATTACGACGACGACGACGACGACGACGACGACGACGACGACGACGACGACGGACGACGACGACGACGACGACGACGACGACGACGACGACGACGACGGACGACGGACGACGAGGACGACAGACGACGGACGACGACGACGATGACGACGATGACGACACGAGAACGGCCGAACTGGACAGAACTCAAATCCCCGTCCATCCGGCCCCGCATCTCCAGGAACGCCTGATGGACGGGGGTCACGCGAAATGGCTCGGCAACGCTTGTTGCAAAGTCTTCCTCCAACCGCATCATACGTCGCAGGCCAAGCCAAGCTGCGTCACATGCTTGAGAGCGTCAACTGCTGCATGTGTGTGCGGATGCGAGCGACGGGAGCAGCCACAGACATGCGACTTCCCGACTTTTGTCGGCACGGGTCCCCGGGAAGCTCCGACCCTTCCCCCCAGGCCCGGTCCTCCATCCCGAGTCGATTCTGGGGGGCGTTCCTGAGGCCCAGCGAGGGCCCCCAGAGGCACGGCCGACAAGAAATCTGTCCCACATTCCTTCGGGAGCGGCAGAGGGGGGGTGTCCAAGAGGGGGGGGTGCAAATCATGACCGGCGGCATGTGCGCGGCCCAGCGGGGGGGCCAGGGACGTAATGAAACAAGAAGAGGCGCCGTGAAATCTGGGGAAATGTCATGGCCCCCGCCATGATATCCACCCCCCCCTAGTCATCACCCCCTCTTTTCCGCCCCCGATTCCTGGGGCGGGAGACAGCGGGAGCAGCGCGCAGCAGCGGGCCTCCGGCGCCCCGGTCTCTGCGGCGGCCGCCCCGCCGCCCCGCCGCCGCTCCTCCTCCTCCTCCTCGGCCGCCGCGCCGGCGGCGGCGGCCGCGTCGGGGCCGCTGGTGCGCTGGCGCTTGGGCGGCTGGCCTCGACCGCCGCCGCCGTCGGCGGCTCGGCGGCGGCGCCCGCGAGGAGAAGGGGCGACGAAGACGAGGGCGACGATTCACGACGGGCGGCTAGGAGGACGGCGAAGGCGGCGGCGACGAGTCCGCGGCGGCGGCACGACGGCGGCGGCGGCGGCGGCCATGCCTCGGACGTCGCTGGCGTCGCCCCGCGGGGCAGCGTCGCCGCCTGCGGGGCTCGTGGCCGGGGCCTGCGGCCCGTCGGCACGCGGCTGCAGCCACCGGTGGCCCTGGACGAGCTCGAGGCCCGACCGGCCGCCGGGCTCCAGCTGGAGCAGGCCGCTCAGCACCGCCCTCGCGTCCTCCAAGAGGGCTCCAATCCCTGGGATTCGCACTGGGCGTTTTCGCCCCGTCGAAGAATGTGGGCCCCTCACACATCGATTCGGATCGAAGAGTGCGGCAGAATAATTGGGTTTAAGGCTTCCGTCGTGATGTCCCGCGAGATTGCATGTTTTTTCCCGCGTCCTGCATGGGGGTCTCGCTTTCTGTGCACACACCCAGCGAAGGAAGGGGCACCTAGTCCCCCTCTTCTCGTCTTCCCCAGCATCATTACCATCATCACTCACCCACGCATTCACAAGGTCATCATCATCACCATCCGTATTACCATCATCGCCGTCACCGTCACCGTCACCATCATCATCAACATCACCATCATCATCATCAGCATCATCATAATCACCAGCATTTCCCATCATCACCATCATCATCATCATCATCGTCATCAGCATCATCACTATCAGCATCAGCATCACTATCAGCATCATCATCATCATCGTCATCAGCATCATCATCATTATCATCAGCACCACCATCATCACCTGAAGCATCATCAGCATCGCCATCATCATCATCATCATCATCATCATCATCATCATCATCATCATCATTATCAGCAGCAGCATCATCTTCAGCAGCAGCACCATCATCATGATCATCGCCAGCAGCAGCATCATCATTATCATGATCATCGTCACCATCATCACATAACCTCACACAAGGCACTCGTATCATGAACGTCACCGTTATCATTACCCAACACACTTACACACTTGCCAACACAAACACACACACACATTCAGTAACGCTCACACACCTGAGGCCTGAAAATTGAGGAAGTCTCGGGCGTGAGCCTCGTCTGTGAGTGAACGCGAGGACGTCTCGAGCGGGAGCCCCTCCATATGAGGCCCGCGCTTCATGCTAGTAATCCCAGGCGGCCTCAAACCTGTAACTGCCGCCACTTGCGGCTCCGAGGGCTAGTATATCGAGGAATTCTGGGGTGGGAGCCTCGTCTGTGAGTGAATCGCGGGGACGTCTCGATCGGGGGGGGAGCTATGGGGCCCGCACTTCATATCAATCCTCCGAGGCGGCCTCAAACCTGAACATGTCATCACTTTCGGGCTTCTGGTGTCTGAATATTGCGGATGTCTCGACCGTGAGCCTCGTTAGTGAATGAATCGCGAGGGAGTCCTGAGTGGGGGAGCCCTCCCTATGGGGCCTGTGCTTCACATTAATAACCTGAGGCGGTCCTCGAACCTGTAACCATCCTCACGTGTGGGCTCCTGATGCCTAAACGATGAGGGTGTCCCAAGCGGTAGCATCGTCTGCGAGGGAATCGCGAGGACGCCCCATGCAGGAGCCCCCCTTCCAGTGGAGTCCGCACTTCAAATTGGCAATCCGAGGCCAACCTAAGTCGGCAGGAAGTCTCGAGCGGGAGCCTGGTCTGTGAGTGAACCGCGACGGAGGTTCGAGCAGGAGTCCCTCTCCCTGGGAGCCAACTGCATACGACTTATCCCATCAATGGCTTGCCCTGGCTTCATCGGCGAGCGGCACTGACTCGCCTGAACGGCCTGCTCCGCGCACGGGGGGACCAAGAATAGGGGGAGGGGGAAAATGAGGGGGAGGAGGAGGAGGAGGAGGAGGAGGAGGAGGAGGAGGAGGAGGAGGAGGATGAGGAGAAGGAGGCGGAGGAGGAGGCACGAGGAGGACTACGAGGCAGGAGGAGGGGGGAGGGAAGAGGACGAGGAGGAGGTAGGATCAAGCACAACGCAGTACGATGATGATCACGATGATGATGATGATGCTGATGCTGATGATGATGATGATGATGATGATGATTAAGCTGATGATGATGCTGATGCTGACAAGGATGATGATGATGCTGATGATGATGATGCTGATGATGATGATGATGGTGGTGACGAAGATGATGATGATGATGATGATGATGATGATGATGATGATGATGATGATGATGATGATGATGATGATGGTGCTGATGATGATGATGATGGTGATGATGATGATGATGATGATGATGATGGTGGTGGTGGTGATGATTGGTGGAGGGTGACGCGTGAATAATTGAGAAAGATGGACGGTGATGGCTGATCGATGGTGAATGCGGACGATGCTGATGAAGGGTGCTTCTAATACTCATGATGGTGATGGTGTTGGTGATGAGTATGCTGAGGATGATGATGTTGGGGTTGAGGATAAGGATGGCGATGATGATGGTGGTGGTGATTATGTTGCTTATGGTGGTGGTGATGGTGGTGGTGGTGATGAGTATGCTGAGGATGTTGATGCTGCTGTTGGTGATAATGATGATGATCGTCATCATGATCACCATACTCATCAGCAGCTTATTATACACACCAGCCTTATCATTACGGTGGTGGTGATGGTAATGGTGATAGTGCTGTTACTGCTGCTGATGATTGTGTGGCCATGCAGGAAGAAGAGGAGAAGGAGGCGGGTGGAGGATGAGGATGAGAAGGAAGAGGCACACGATAATAGGGGTAGAAGGGGGGGCAAAAGGGGGAGAAAGCAGGAGGAAGAGGAAGAGGGGGGTAGGAAGAGGAGGAGGAGAAGGAGGAGGAGGAGGAGGAGGAGAAGGAGGAGGCAGGGATTCAGGAGGCAGGAGGAGGAGACAGGATGACGCAGGAGGAGGTAGGAGGAGTAGGAGGAACAGAAGGAAGAGAGGAGGAGGCAGGATGAGGAGGCATGAGGAAGAGAAGCAGGGAATACGAGGGGGCAGGAACAGCAGTGGACTAGGAAGAGGAGGCATGAGGAGGCATGAGAAGTAGGAGAGGGAGCAGGTGACGAGGAAGGAGCAGGAGGCAGGAGTAGGAGAAGGAGGGGGGAGGAGGAGGAGGAGGAGGAGGAGGAGAGGAGGAGGAGGAGGAGGAGGAGGAGGATGAGGAGGAGGAGGAGGGGAGGAGGGAGGGGAGGAGGAGGAGGAGGAGGAGAGGAGGAGGAGGAGGAGGAGGAGGAGGAGGAGCAGGGAGGAGAAGGAGGAGGAGGAGGAGGAGGAGGAGGAGGAGAGGAGAAGGTGGAGAACGTGGAGGAGGAATGCACCAGGAGGTTATGGGAGGCCCCAGAAGGCCCCAGAAGGCCCCAGGAGGCCCCAAGAGGCTCCAAGACGGGGGGGGGAGGCGAGACAGGAGACCCAAAGAGGAGGGAGGATGAGGAAGCTGGACGAGGAGGGGGCAGGATGAGGAGAAGATGGAGAAGGAGAAGGAGGAGGATGAGGCAGAAGGATGAGGCATGGGAGGAGGAGGAGAATGAGGAGGGGGAGGAGGGGGAGGAGGAGGAGGAGGAGGAGAAGGAGAAGGAAAAGCAGGAGGAGGCAGGCGGAGGAGGCAGGACGATAAGGCAGGAGAAGGAGCAGTCAGGAGGAGAAGGAGCAGGCAGGAGAGGGGAGGAGGAGGAGGAGGAGGGGGCAGGACCATGGACTGTGACCCATTGGGCTGGTTCCTGCGTGACGGCGCTCCTCCCTTCTGCGGATGCCTCCGACTTATATAGGCCCTGGGGCCCTCATAGCCAGAAAGGCCCTCATAGCCAGATAGGCCCTCTTATATAGGCACTGCCGTTGGGGAACGCGGATGCCTATAGACGGGGAGGGCCTGTAGGCGTGCCTCTCGATAGCATGAAGGGCCTGAAGGCGTGCCTCTAGGCAGGCGGGGAGGGCGCCCATAGGCGTGGAAGGCCTGTAGGCGCGCATGTATGCAGGGAAACGAGGAGGAGGAGGAGGAGGAGGAGGAGGAGGAGGAGGAGGAGGAGGAGGAGGGAGTGCCTACAGGCAGGGATGGCCTGCAGGCGTGACTGCAGGCACTGAGCGGGAGAGTGCCGGCAGGCATGGAGGGCCTGTAGGCGCGCGGGTAGGCAAGGGGGGGGAGGAGGGGGGAGGGGAGCCCATAGGCAAGCCAAACAGATTCTCGTGCGAGGCCCTACCGTCGAAGTCGTCTCGCAGAGTCGGATCTCAGGGGCTGCGCACCGACACCGGACCGATCCAGGCAGCGCCCTCCTGAGCGGACCCCGTCTGCAAGGCGTGCGGCCCGCGGGCCCCGGGCCCCGGGGCGGGCCTGGCCGGGGCTGGCGTCGGCTTCCGCTTCTCGCGCCGACGGGTCCTCGCTCAGGTCGACGCCCGCGACGATGTCGTCGAGCTCCTGCTGGGACGAGGCCACCTGGGAGAGGAGCAGAGAGCGAAATGAGCATAAAACTGTCGAAAGTCCGCACTGATTTCTTGGACCGGCGCTGGAGTCCCCTAGCGCGCTCCGCGCGCGCAGGGCGGGGGGGGGGTCCGGCGCCGATCCAGGAAATCCGCACGGACCTTCGACAGTTGCTTTTCTCTTCCCAAGCACACAAGGCCACGGGTGACATAACCACATCGCGACCCCAAAAGTCGCTAGGCACACCAAGAATCACGACGACGCGACGGCACGACGACGAAAAAAGAAAGCAGCCCGAAGCCCTGGGGGGGGGGGCAGGGAGGAAGGCCAGGGAGGGTCAGGGCAGTGGGACCTCGGGAGGCCAGGGAGGCCAGGGCAGGCATGGAGCCCAGGGGGGGCCACGACGGCGCGTCGACACGACGGCGAGAACGAGTGGCACGCATGCCCTGGCTCCTGCACGAGGGAGGGCGACGGTGCGAGGAGACGGTGCGAGGGGGGGGGGTCTTGGAACCATCCTGCTGTTCTCCTGGGACCACCAGGACCATCGTGAGGAGACAGAGACCAGGGCGCCCAGGGAAGGGGGGGGGAGGACAAACCCGGAGCACCCTGAACGCAGCAGCTCCTGCAACGGCTGCGGGAAGTCACCGCGCAGCGCGCGGAGCGAAGAAACCCAGAATACCTTGGCCCTGACGCAAAGCATATGGTTTCTCGCTGCGCGCCCCCACTGTATGCAATTATTTCTCCTTCGGCACCTGGCCGAAGGGGAAGTGCCCCGCCAGCAGCACGAAGAGCAGCACGCCCAGGCCCCACAGGTCGGCGCTGAAGTCGTGGGGGGCCTTCTGCAGCACCTCCGGCGCGATGTACGGGTGGGTCCCCACCATCGACCGGGCCTCGCTTCGGCCGGCGCCGACGGCCTTGGTGAGGAAACAACACCGGGGAGGTCCTCGCCAAACCGATCAAAAGCTAGCCCCAACAGGCCTGCAGTACCCCTGCCAATCATGGGCATATGATCATTCCTCTGGGTGCCAATTGAGGGTTGCCGACACCCAACAATACTCAGCAAATGATTATTCCGACGCCGCCGCCGTCGTCGCCGCCGCCCCGTTGTCGTCGTCGTCGTCGTCGTCGTCGTCGTCGTCGTCGTCGTCGTCGTCGTCGTCGTCGTGGTCGTCGTTATCGTCGTCCCTGTACTACCTACTACTAAGGAGGAGGAGGAGGAGGAGGAGGAGGAGGAGGAGGAGGTGGAGGAGGAGGAGGAGGAGGAGAAGGGAGGAGGAGGAGGAGGAAAACGAGGAGCGACAGTACCGATGAAGGAGGACGAGGAGGAGGAGGAGGAGGCGGCGGAGGAGGAGGAGGAGGAGGAGAAGGAGGAGGAGGAAGGACAGGGCGAACCGGAGAACGCGCGGAGTTCATCGCCAGCCCTGAGCTTTGGTAGGGGGGGTGGAGGCAGGTCTAAAAGACCTACCGAGGTTATTCAGCCCGATGTCAAAGCCACTGAGACAGATTAGGCCAGATTTGGCCTAGGCTTATCAGGCACATAATCAAGCCAGACAAAGCGGGAGCGAGCCAGAGTATGCTGGACTATGCTGGATCGGGTCGGCTTTCGACCACGAATCTTACAGCGCCGATTCTGAATCTGACCTCCCAGGAGCTACACCCTGACCTTTGAGAGCCCAAAGTCGGTGATCTTCACGCTGTACAGGGTGTTGGCGTGCTGCCGTGCACTGCTGGCGACAAGGACGTTCTCCAGCTTGAGGTCGCGGTGTATGACGCCGCGGGAGTGCAGGAAGGAGAGCCCGCTCGCCAGCTGGCGCAGCACGAACGCAGCCTCTGCAGGACGACCGCGCAATCTGGACATTTCAGCACGAAAAGGATGTCTACGCCGCCTCGATGCGCCGCCAACGGCCGCCCACTCCACGGGACGAGCTCGCGGGCCCGGTAGTTGCTGTACAGCCGACCCGTACCACAAGGACGCACGATGAGGATGCAAGGGCCTCGGAAGGCCGTTTTAGAAGCGTTTCGAGCGGGCCGCGGCCAACGAAGGTGGCCACGGCTGGACCGAGGAGGCAAGGTTGCAAGGGTGCCCTTGGGAAAATTGCCCATCCTCACTGTGCGGGTTGACCGCATCGCCCCAGAGCCCAGGCGGGCAGGCGCCACGGGGAACCGAACGGAGGGGGGGGCGAGCTCCAGGCAGTGCACAACCGCGCAGCGGCGGCGCCCCCCCACCCCTCGGGGCCAGCTGCTGGCGCGCAACCCTCCCCGCCATGGCCGAGGGAATGTTGCCACGAGGCCCAGGATGGCCGAAGCCACCACGCTGCCGCCGCGAGCCTCTGGAATCCCCCCTGCCATCGGAGCCCTGGTGGGTCTTAGGGGTCGTGTGGACGAGGAGGAGGAAGAGGGGCAGGACAATCTATAGCATGGGACGCACAAAGACATATTATTACTCTCTCTATATAAGAGTGGGGGGGCCGAATGGTCAATCATTGTCCCTGCGCGCGTGGCTGAATAAGAAACTCGTGGTGGGAATTCTGTTTGTTGCGTTGTTGTTGTTGCTGCTGCTGCTGCTGTTGTTGTTGTTGTTGTTGTTGAACATTATTAATTCTAAAGAATAATTATTGTTGGGCCCCCTGGTGCGCGCCCCCCCCGCCGCGCCTAGGCCGCAGCCTCATTTTCATCATTTTCGTGAGGAAGTCTCATGCAAAACGGGTTGGTCCGGATCCGGTTGTTTTGTTGTCCCCCGTTTTCCCTTGCAGAAAAAAAGCTAAAGTGGACATTTCTTGTTCTAGCATAACCAAACTTCAAGAACCCCTTGCAAAAAAAAAATGGTAAAGTGGACATTCGCGCGCGCAAGACGAAATCCTTCCAAAACCTTAGTCTTCGTAGCGATTTTCACATAAAAACATGAAAAACCCAATGGTTTTTCAAAAAAGGGTTTCAAAAATTCACCCCGCGCGCTCTTGCGGATTTCTTAAACCCAATACTTTTTCAACATTTCTGTCAAACGGGCTCTTGCGAGCAACTTTTTCACGTGCTTCGAACTTCTGCAACAAAGGTTGCGCGCCTGCCAGGGCCATCATCCCTGTCAAATAATACCATGTGGGACACATTCGTTTTTTCTTCGCGCGCGCACGCCGTCGTCGTCGGCCGCGGGGCCCTGAATAGTAGCCACGGTCGTCCGCATGCCACGAAGTGAAGTGTCCGAACGTCATAGGGCGGGAAGCTGGGTGTGGGTGGTGGCGAAGAGTCGTTTGGAAATTTGGTAGAGCTTGAACCGGCCCCCCCACAAAGTGGGGGTATTGCCCGCCTCCTATGAAAACCCTGGCACTGGTGAGAACGGAGTGTCCCCAGTCTTAAATGATTGTTGTTGTTGTTGTTGTTGTTGTTGTTGTTGTTTGTCGTCGTCGTCCCACCCGCGACCCACCCCGCGACCCACCCGCGACCCACCCGCGACCCACCCCGCGACCCACCCCGCGACCCATCCGCGACCCACCCCGCGACCCATCCGCGACCCATCCGCGACCCACCCGCGACCCACCCCGCGACCCACCCGCGACGCACCCCGCGACCGACACTCAAGGGAGGAAAAACCACCCGGACCTGACAATTAACGTTTACTAAACGGCCATGGGCGTTGACTAACCAGCCCTGCCCTATTCGATTCATTCCTTGTGTGCGTTTACTAAACGGCTTCGCTTGTCGGGGTGATTCTTATGGGGTGGATTTCACTTGCCGAACTTGAAGCTGTCAACTCCACTGCTCGCGCAATCATCCCACCCACCCACCCGCAACTTGGTTTGCAAAACCCATGCGGGACCGAACACAGATATCGCTCCGGGGTCGTCTTGGAGCCCTCGGGGGCGTCTCAACAGCGCCCCAAAAAGGCCAGAGAAGCAAGACGGTCGACGACGACGACGCCGACGGCGGCGACGACGACGACGCCGACGTCGACGACGACGAAGACGACGACGCCGACGCCGACGACGACGACGAAGGCGACGACGACGTCGCCAACGAAGACGACGACGAGGGAGGAGGGAGGACGACGACGGCGACAACGACGACAACGACGACAACGAGGGAGGAGGGAGGACGGCGACGACGCGAACGACGAAGAAGGAGAAAGGACGGCGACGCCGACGACGACAACGACGACGAGACGACGACGACAACGACGAGGGAGGAGGGAAGACGACGACGAGACGACGACGACAACGACGACGACAACGACGACGAAATGGGAGGGACGACGACGAGACGCCGACGACAGACGACGACGACGACGACGAGGGAAGAGGAGAAGGACGACCACGGCGACAACGACGACGGAAACGACCACGACGCCAAAGAGGACGACGACGAAGAACACGAAGAAAGCCACAGGACGACGCAGGCGACGACAACGACGACGACGCGGGAGGAGGGAGGACGGCGACAACGACGACGACGACGACGCCGCAAGAGCGCGCGCACACGCTTTTGTTGAAACTCCGTGCTGCGAAACCTTTTGTTTTTGTGAAATTTTTGGACGCACGATTTTGAAATCCTTCCGAAACCGATGGGTTTTGAAGGATTTCGGCGTACGCGCCCGACGACGCGTGCGTCTGCACGTCGTCCCGTTTTTTTGCAGAGGATTCTCGCGACGGCACACGTGCAAGGGCGTTCGACAGATTTCGATATGCGCGCGCGACGCCCGTTTGGTAGCATGTTGTGAAAACATTGAACAACAAATGGTTTCCTTAAGATTTCGCAAGAGCTCGCGCGTAAGCTTTTTTAGCAAACCAGTGTTACGAAATCCTGTGTTTCTGTACTTTTTTGGGGGAACTCGATTGCGAAATCTTTTCGGCACCGAAGATGTTTGAAGGATTTCGGCATGCGCGCGCGACGACGCGCGCGTGTGCACTTCGTTCCGTTTTTTGCAAGGGATTCGTGAACAAGTGCTATGTTAGAACAACAAATGTCACCGCATAGTGTTTTTTTACAGAAAGGAACCTCAGGGGGGAATACCGATTGGCCTGGGACATTGTGATTTCATAGTTTGGATGGACATGTGGTCAGAATCATGTGGTTTTCATACCCGAAATGGGGGGGCGATAACTCCAGGGGGGGGTAGAGTCTAGTCTCTTTTTAGAAAGGAGAGTTTATGCCCTCTACACCCGCGACCCACCCGCGACCCAACAGAGACCCACCCGCGAACCACCCGAGACCCATTTGCGACCCACCCGCGACCGACCCACATTGGTTTAACGAAAAAATCGGAGCCTGCGGCGGAGGCGGCGACGTCCCCACCGCCCCCTCACTCTTATCCGCATCTAAAGGTTTCTCCGTACAAAAATATAAATTTTGGAGGTGCGAGTGCGACCCGAACAGATAGTATACAGTATACAGTATACCCATCTTGTATTATATCGTTTCCCTGGGGGTGTGGCCACAAAGCGCCAATCACGACGCATATGCTATAAGATTTCTCCAGGGGTGCGTTGTCCCTCACGGGGCGACACACACATTGTATTAGTGTGTTGGGGTGACGCCGAAAGCATGCAGATTGCGCGTTGAGGTTGTGACATCTCTCGCCTCGGTCTCCGAGAAGCGCGGGTTCAGGCGGCCCGTCAGGGCCGTCAGCAGATCACCCCCGCCGACCATCTCCAGCACCAACAGCAGCCAGTCCCCCTCCTGCCGAGCGTCCACCAGCTGCACGATGTTGGGGTGCGGAGGCAGGTCCTTCAGGATCTCCACCTCCCGACGCAGCTTCTTCTCCTCTCGCTCGGCGTTGGGGCTCAGCTTGAGACGGCGCACGTCGATGGCCTCGACGGCCACGGAGGCCGCCGTCACCGTCGGCGTCGTCGTCGGCGTGCCGCCGTGGTGGTGGTGGTCGTCGCCATCGTCGTCGCCGCCACTGTCGCCGGCGTCTCCCCCGAAGTGTCTGCACCCCCCTCTTCCTCCTCCTCCTCCTCCTCCTCGTCCTCCTCCTCCTCCTCCTCCTCGTCCTCCTCCTCTTCCTCCTCCTCTTCCTCCTCCTCCTCCTCCTCCTCCTCCTCCTCCTCCTCCTCCTCCTCCTCCCTCTTCCTCCTCCTCCTCCTCATCCTTCTCCTCCTCCTCCTCCTCCCTCCTCCCTCTTCCTCCCCACACCTGCCTGGGGGTGCGATGTGAGTGCCGAGGCGAATCCAAGCTCGGCCACGAGCGTCCTCTCTCTCAGAGGCGCGCGGCATAAGCGAGACAAGAGCACCTCCAAGCACCTCGAAGTGGAAACTCGTCGATCTCGTTGTCGCTGGCGCCTTCGCCGGCCAGAGCTCACTCAAAACCCTGTGTCAGGACACCTCTCGAGGTCCAATCCGCGGTCACGAAGTTAGCATGGCGAAGGACCCAGCCACATGCAACTGCGAGCATCGCGAGGCGGGTGCGCCGAAGGAGGGGGGCCACGGGACGAGTGAGG